CCCAGGCAAGAGCGGATGTGTGGACTTGGGCCGCCACCCGGGAAGCCGCAGGAGGGCGAGGAAGACGAGGCCCGAGCTCCCTCAGTCACTGCGTCCTGCGGCTCACGGGAGACACAGGCCTTGCGCTGGAGCCAAGAGGAGCCCACGGTCTCCACCCTCACAGACGCCAAACAGAGAAAGGACAGGGAAGGGACACACGGCTGCACGGCCAGTGTCACAGGGAGACGTGGAATCGGCCCTGAGAGACGGCAGCACGGGCGATGGGCCCAGCTGGGGAGCGGGCAGAGTGTCTGAGACCCAGGATGGCTCCTGCCTGACTCGGAGAGCACACGAGGAAAGGAGGCCCTGGGGAGCGGCATGCAGAGCCCGTGCTCGGGAGGGTGCTGCCCACTCAGGGGCCCGCGCGAGTGCACGCGGTAGTGGGGCTGCAGTGCTGTGGGGAGGGGCCGCGGCTCAGAGAAATGGAACCGCAGGCAAAGTATTACATAAAGTTCAGTCAAAGGGGCCAAACGTGTTACCAGGATCACACAGCATAACGAATAGTGTTTGCTTTAGGGAAGCAGGGTTGTCGGACGTCAAGACGTTTAAAAGCTCTAATTTTTCACATCAGTAGATGAAAGACCACTGTTATGTTTGTGCTGATGGATGCAGTCCTTTACAGCATAGATGCAGCGTTAATGTTGGCATCAGAGTTTCCCAAGCAAGATGGAACAGAAAGCAAGAAGTCTCTCTCCTCCCTCCCTTCCTCCCTCCCTCCCTTTTTTGGCACCGGGATTGAACTCAGGTCCTTGTGCTTGCTAGGCAGGCGCGGCGCCACTGAGCTAAATCCCCAACCCTTAACACTGCGAAGTGTAGCAATTTAAGGGGCCAAAATTATTCTTAAGGCTGAGATGAAGGAGGCACAGAAGTAACTTCAAAGACAAAGGATGCCTTCCCAGCCACTTTTCGGAGAGCACACGAGGAAAGGAGGCCCTGGGGAGCGGCATGCAGAGCCCGTGCTCGGGAGGGTGCTGCCCACTCAGGGGCCCCGCGTGAGTACACGCGGTAGTGGGGCTGCAGTGCTGTGGGGAGGGGCCGCAGCTCAGAGAAATGGAACCGCAGGCAAAGTATTACATAAAGTTCAGTCAAAGGGGCCAAACGTG